TTTAATGCTAAAATTTTTATTATATATTTCTTAAATAGTATTAGAAAAATATTGTATATACATTTAATTATCATTAATATTCATTAATTATCCATCATTTAATATTTGATCAATTAAATATGAAGGTTGTACATAATTCAATATTGCGAATGAATTCAGTTCCAAATCTTTATCATCTTTAATTAATTTTCTCTTCTTTTTCAGGATTTTTTGATATAGATTAATTTTTAACTCAAACACAGTAATGCAATTCTTTTTTGTTTATATGTTGCCTCTAAAATAAATTATCATAAATTACAATTTATATTGATATTCTTGAATTGGTTCATGTTTTATAATTTATTTTTGGATTACTGGTTATTGTTAAAATAACCATTTCATTAATCTAATCATTTGATTAAATAGATTTATAAATCAATCAAGCAATGAAATTAACTATAAATCCAAACTAAAATTTTAATTAATGATCTTTATCAAAATTATGATTATTATATCATTAGGACATTAAACTAATGTATCTTCAGATTGATCAAAGCATAAAATAAAAATATAATTTTTATTTTTGCCTATTGAATAAAGGTAGTTTAATTCATTTTTCATATAATCAATTCTCAAAATTTTCATTGAATTATTATTTATACTCCATAAAGAATTTAATTTGCAGATTTAACTCATAGCGTAAGGATTAATATAATGTAATTACCTTAAATAAAATAATTCTTTGGATAATATTTTTGAATTCTCATCAATCTAATAAAAATTAAATTGTGATATACATCCTATAACAAATACTTTAATTTAGTAATAGTAAATGATGTATAAGTATAATTCTCCATATAAATTATTAAATATATCATTTAATTTTTTAGTCTATTCTAAAATGATTGTTGTTATTAATTATTTTTTTCAATTAATTGGAAACTTGAATTCAAATAATCATTTATTAACTGTGAATTCAAATTCACTAATTATTCCTTTTAAAATGAACATTTGGATCTGATCCCCATTTTAAATGAAGATAATGTTTGATTCACACTTTCTACATATTTACTGAGTTCTTCAATAAAATTATCACATTCTTGATTTTTATCTTCAATATTTGTTATTAAGGTGCTGATTTTTTCAACATCTTTAAAATGATCATGATGGATTCTTCCATACTTTAAACATCTAAAACAAATTAATCTGAATTCTGTACAGAATTGATTATAACAAACTGTGTCTATCTCATCCAGATGATTATCTTTTTAGCATTTTAGCTTTGAATTTGGTTACAAAATCATTTTTTATATATTTATAATATATATTTATAAAAACAGTAATTGACAGTATATTATTAATATAAATTATCTCCACAAAACCTAATCCTTTATTTTCAAGACAAATATAAAAATGATTAAATAATCTATGCATAAACGTTATCAAAAATTCGTAATTTTATCATTATTACCTCTCTATATTTAATTAAAGGTTCTTAATATTATGTTCATAGTTTGATTTTTTATGAAAGTTTTAGTTTCTCAATTGGCAATTTTAGATTTTTCACATAAAGATGGTTGGTAGGAATTATCTAGCTCCAACTTTTATTCTTCTATCATTGTTTATTCGAATCCATCTAAATCCTCAAATTCCTTAAATAATTATTCATCATGACACCAAATATAATATTAAGGTTGTAATTTTATTCTATTGAGGTTACAAGTTGAAGAACTAAACTTGAATCTATCAAAATATCCCAAATTTTGATATTTGGATATTCTTTCTTTATCTTATTTTAGCTTCTCCTTCAAAGTTCTAAATCAGTATTACAGCATAGTTATCCCTATCTGTTACAAAATATTAGTATTTCTCAATTTCTAAATAAATTATGTTTTAAGATCGAATGATTCCCAATCTTATTCAATACTTTATGAGAGACTATATTTGGTAATCCAGTTAATGTATTAAATGAAGATCTTCTTAACTTTTGAAATACTTTATTTTAATAATTTGATAAGCATATAGAATAGGTGAAACATATTAGAAATGCGGCCTAAAGTAAGTATTCCAAAATTATGACATTATGCCTTTGTGGAAGTAATCTTTTTAATGGAATTAATTAATGTATAAGGTGGTTAATTACTTTCTTAGTTTAATTTAATTATTTAGGAATATTGCTCCTATTATCCACACTAAGTATTTGAAAAAATTCTCTTTTTTAATTTTTCCATATTATTTAATAAATTTATTGCACAGAAAGATCTATTGTTTTTTCTAGATTCATTTAAAATTCCTTATTTCAGCTGTTTTAATTACCAGATTTGTTACATCCTTAATGTTTCTAATTATATACTATTGCCTGGAATCAGCAAATGCATAAAATTGTATTTGCGAGTATTCTAATTTGATTTTATATTTTTTTTAACATTTTTAAATCCTTAATTCTTTTTATAATTCAATTAATTCATTAAAATAACTTTCAAATAGGAAGGGTGAAAGAGTGAACCTTAATGCACTCCATTTTAAAAATAAACTCTTTCCTTTCTTATTGGATCATAAATATATCAATTACCATATATCAATTTTGAAATATCAATAACCCTATCTAGAAAATTTTAATTATATTTCTCTTTCAACATAATTATTTGAAATAGCTTGATGAGATCAAAACAATTATTAGCATCAGAAAGATGATCGCAGATTTGGCTTATCTTTGTATCCTATCAATATTTAGTTTTGAGTTTCTCGATTATTGACCAACAAGGTATTAAAAAACCAATCTAAACTGGGGATATTTCCAATGTACTTGCGATTTGGCTATCTGATAAATAAATAAAGATTGTAAAACATAAGATAATTTCTTAGAAATTTATGGTTCAGACTTAGTTTCATTAATAATAAAATGTTTGCTTTTTAGCTAAGATTTCATTATTAAAAATTTATTGAGCTTTGAGGGATGACGGAGAATACTTTATGGGAGATTCAAATTAGGAAATATAGCTAAAAATGAATAAGATATGTAAAATGATCATTTAAAATTTTATCATATTGTTTATATTTAATTAATTTATTTAATAGTTATACATCTTTTAATTTAAAAAAAGTAATTCAAAAAAAAGTAATTTAATTTAAAATCTCAAATTTATTATTTTGATTATCTTGATTATTTATACCTAAAATTTCATTCCATTTATTTAATAAATTATATCTTTAGTTCGATTATTCCCAATATTTGATAATGTCATTATCTTTATCAATGTCCTTTATAAATAAGAAAGATATTATAAGTTTGATTTAGAAATATATTACAGGAAATTTTTGAATAATTATGTATCATATTTTACAACATTTTCTTGTATTTTAACATAAATTAAAAAAGCCATTTATGATGTTCTTATATTAATTCTTTAATGAATTCATAAGGAGGTTTAATAGTATCTTTAATAACCTAGACATCTCTGATATGTCCATCATTAACTAAAAATCTAATAACTGTTTATGTTTCATAAATAATTTAAAAAATAATTCTATTAGCTATACTAGTATTTTGTGATATTTTATCATCAAAAACAGGACAATAAAAATACCAAGCATAAATGCTTAAACTGTATTTCATATACTGTGTTTTTGATAACTTCTGTAATATCCAATCATAATCAATTAATAAAAATTGTAAGATTCTTCATTTAATAAATTCTGGTGTCAAAGCTTGAATAAAATAACTTAAAAATAATTATATTTAGTATAATTTTTTTCAGAATAAAGTCAAAATAACTCTTATCAATAAACAAATACTAAAAGAATTTACTTCAGATAGACGATAATCTAATTGAATTTAAAAATTCTTTAAATAAATAAATTCAGATCAGTCACTTTTAACATGCATTTAAGTATGAAATTTCAAGAAAATTCATAAAGTTCTATCACAAAATAATGAATTTGCCATTTAAATATTTAGAAAATAACAATTTTAGCAATTATAATATAAAATCAAAGGATTTCAATTAATTCCTTAAAAAACCATGATAAAATAAAATGATATTCTAGTTTTTCATTGAAAAGTCTATTCATTTAGTACTTTATTAAAGTAAAAGGATATAGATTAATATATACAATTAAAGAAAAGTTCAAAATTTTAAAGAATTATTAAGTGATATAAATATTTTTATTTTAATATTTAGAAATTTAAACACAAATAATAATTATTCTAGCATCTTATTTTTATTTATTTTTAAATTTATTTTGAATTTTCAATTTCTCTTAATCTATGAGTAATTATAATCTGAAATACAATTGATATTTGAATAAGGTAATATAAAAATCTCATCAGTACTTTTCATTTTCATATATGGTTTCAAGCAAAATAATTTCTACTTTAATTATTTAAATTTAATCTTTATATCAATAAAAAGAAAATCAAATATTATAAAAAATTCTAATATTTTCAAATCTAATTTATATAATTTCTTTCCTTTAAATTTAAATTCTCAAATAAATAAAAAGATTAATATTACTTTGAGTCTAATAGCCATATCATTGAATTTATGCTTCTTTCAGACCTTAAGTAGTGTTGGAGAAGTTAAAGATAATTCAGGATATAAGATCATTTAGTTTGGATTTTGAGANCCAAGCATAAATGCTTAAACTGTATTTCATATACTGTGTTTTTGATAACTTCTGTAATATCCAATCATAATCAATTAATAAAAATTGTAAGATTCTTCATTTAATAAATTCTGGTGTCAAAGCTTGAATAAAATAACTTAAAAATAATTATATTTAGTATAATTTTTTTCAGAATAAAGTCAAAATAACTCTTATCAATAAACAAATACTAAAAGAATTTACTTCAGATAGACGATAATCTAATTGAATTTAAAAATTCTTTAAATAAATAAATTCAGATCAGTCACTTTTAACATGCATTTAAGTATGAAATTTCAAGAAAATTCATAAAGTTCTATCACAAAATAATGAATTTGCCATTTAAATATTTAGAAAATAACAATTTTAGCAATTATAATATAAAATCAAAGGATTTCAATTAATTCCTTAAAAAACCATGATAAAATAAAATGATATTCTAGTTTTTCATTGAAAAGTCTATTCATTTAGTACTTTATTAAAGTAAAAGGATATAGATTAATATATACAATTAAAGAAAAGTTCAAAATTTTAAAGAATTATTAAGTGATATAAATATTTTTATTTTAATATTTAGAAATTTAAACACAAATAATAATTATTCTAGCATCTTATTTTTATTTATTTTTAAATTTATTTTGAATTTTCAATTTCTCTTAATCTATGAGTAATTATAATCTGAAATACAATTGATATTTGAATAAGGTAATATAAAAATCTCATCAGTACTTTTCATTTTCATATATGGTTTCAAGCAAAATAATTTCTACTTTAATTATTTAAATTTAATCTTTATATCAATAAAAAGAAAATCAAATATTATAAAAAATTCTAATATTTTCAAATCTAATTTATATAATTTCTTTCCTTTAAATTTAAATTCTCAAATAAATAAAAAGATTAATATTACTTTGAGTCTAATAGCCATATCATTGAATTTATGCTTCTTTCAGACCTTAAGTAGTGTTGGAGAAGTTAAAGATAATTCAGGATATAAGATCATTTAGTTTGGATTTTGAGATATCAAGAGAATATACATGATAACCACCCTATTTTATTTCATTTTCGAAGCTAATATTATTAAAGAGCTGATTTCATTTTATTTAAACTAAATTTTTTATAATATTAGAATTAGACCTAAAAATAGATGTGTTACTCATTCATAATAGTAAGATTCTGAACAATTTGAAATAACCACAGAATCCATGAGAGTATTATTATAGAGACACTCCCTGGTTCTTCAAATTAATAAATCATTTTTTTTGCTCCCTGACAGAATCATTAAATGGACTTAAATCCTTCACTTTCTCAGATTAAAATATTTAATTAAATAATAATCAAAAAAATTAGTCATCCTCCAAAAAGAACTAAAAATCAACTCTATATTATTCAACACATTCATAAAATCAACTTTTTTTCAATAAATTGTCTGGTTTATCAGACTTACTAATTCAAGTTTCAAACTGTTGCATCAAAATCCTAATCTCATACTCTGAAGCTGACAATCCAATAATAGGTTTTTGGAGGACTAAATAATGAACAATATTTTTTAGAATTATCCTTCAAAGCTTCTCTTGCAACTTCTGCTGCCTTAATATCTTTACTTCTTTTGGCAAATTTAAATGATGATTCAAATACATTATTCATCCAGATCATATTCTTATTGATGCCATACTTATTTGAAATGGAATTCAGATCATGATATCAAATTTCATTAAACTTTTTTGTATAAATGAATGAAGAGAACTTGCCTCATTAACTTAAATGATATTTTTATTAGAAAACCATTCCTTTCTAATATGAATTATTTTAATCATAAATTGTAAGATTTAAAATTATCCAGCTAAAATTCTAAAAAATAAAAATTATAGGGCAAAATATTAAATAATCAGGGGTATCTTGTGATTCTTCTTCACAATTATTTATTTGATTTTGTTAAAATAAAACTAAATCCTTATTAAAAGTTTAATTATCTAATTTATATTTTTATAGTTTTTTATTTCTATCTAAAATTATTATATTTGTTTTAATGTTTCTCTAATAAATAATAAAATGAGAATTTAATGTAATATTATATCATTATTTTGAGTAAGTCTATTTTAAATTGATAATCATAACTTTCAACAAAATCATATTATGATCGTTCATATTTTCCTTGAACAATTTCTAAATACTCTTCAATTTTATTACAAAATAAATTACTTATGATATACAATATTAAAATGAATTTTACACTTTAACCAAAAGAGTATTTAAAGCATCAATCACCATACCTAGTTTTATACGAGGATAGAATGTTTTGAAAAATTTCAATAATATTGTGCAGTAAAATAGTATATTAATACATACTACAAACTAACTTCTAAGTTGAAATTAACGAATTTTCAATTTGAATAAGTCATTTGATTTTAATTTTACCATCAAATAGAAGTGCACAATTAACAGTCCAATTGCAAATATTCAGCTCTCTAAAAATTATCGACTAAATTTCCATTTTTATAAGTAACTCAATGTAAAATATAAATTATAATGGAGTGTACTATTTCTAGTGTATGTCAGTTATCAAATTCAATCTTATCATCATTTTTTGCCATTTCTGTCTTATAATTTGAATTTTTCAGATACTTTCTTTTTTATATATGTTAGTGGATACCCTTTTGAAAACTGCACTATATTTATTATTAGTCCTGCTAAAATATTTGATATGTTTTGAACTATAGCAATTAATTCCAATGACCTAAGGAATTAATATAAAAATTTTGCTTATTTAACATAAAAAGTCATTTAAACTGATAAACATCAGACAAAAATTATTTATTTTAATTCTGCTTCAGAATTTGTTGATGTACCTAGCTTATCGCATTTTATAAATAGTATTGCCATTTTTCATTAATTTTTAATTTTATTCTTAAATTATATTATTCCACTTGAGATATATTTTTCATTAGAAATTACACTCAGTAGGATGTTTATTTGATAAAGTTCCAATTCTTGATGATACTGCTCATAAAATGATCAATTCAGATGTACTTATTAACCAAGAAACCAATAATATATATTATGATTATCTCAAATGTAATTTTCCTTTTTTCAATTCTAATTTTAAGTATTTTAATTCAGATAAACACATTTTATAATCGATAAAATAGTAGATTATATGATTAAATTAAATTTATCTAAATCCAGAATGTTTACTATTTTATTTTATTTATAACAATTCTATTGAATTTCTTTTAAAATCAATTTATCTCCTGATATTCCTGTATTTGATTTTTTATTTTATTTATCTATTCTTTCATGAATTCTTATATTTTGGTTATCATAAAATTAATGGGCCAATTCGAATAGCTTTAAACTTTAGCCCATTTTATGATTACTTAAATATTCTATTCTCCATTTAATTTTTTTGATGTCTATTATTTAACAGCATCAGAGTGATCTCGAAATATTGAGTTTTTTCTCAATCGAAGTTACAATTATATTCAAAATATGCGATAATGTTGTGTAAACTAAATATTCTAATGATTTTTTTTCATAGCAAACAATTTAAAACTTGTTTACATGTTTTTATTCTAACATAATTTATTGTCCAAAGCTCATAATTGTTGGTACTTTTTTATTTTCAAATTTTGAATATATATATAACCTAAATATAATTTGGTTAAAGATATTTGATCATAATATGTATCTCCTTAATCATTTCATAAATATTAAAAACAGCTATGAAAAAGCTAATGTTAATTTCCATTTGTTAAATATCACAACAAACAATATCAATAACGTCTCCAAAAAATTTTTTTTTGAATTCTGAAAATATAAAAGTAATGATGTAGAACTGACTTGTAGAAAAATTCATTAAATAAATAATATTCAAATATAATGAAATGCCAAGCGACCAAAAATTTTGAGTTTTCAAAAGAATTTTCTTCAAAGTAATATTTCATCTTGGAACCTTTTGCCATCCTTTACTTTCAAAAGCTTAAATATTTTTATTTAATTTTAACATAACAATAATTCCTCATATAAATTTTTTTATCAATCAATAAGAATCATGATCCAAATTTATGCAATCGGAAGCACATTTTTTTTTTTGTGAGTTACCTGGTTAATTAGAAAAATGAATCTTGATATTTTAATAAATGCCATTTAGTCTTGAATTGGAATTAATTTCATCAGATTATCACAATGATGAATTTCTTGACAAAAAAAATTGATTTAGCAATTAACATTTACATCTATAAATTAAAATAACATAATATTTAATTAAAAATCAGTATAGATTCATTAAATTTAATAAATTAAAAAAAACTTTATAATTTGAATATTAAATACACTTTAAATATTCTAACATATTTCATAATTTGTATTTTATAATATTCATTATTCCTTAAACTTTCTTATTTAGATTTCCTTTGATCCTCTATCCCAAGTGATCAAATACTCTCCATCATTACTTAATTGCCCATAAATTTGATGACTAGTAAATTAAATAGATTAATAAATAAGAAAGTCACCATTTTCTTTCTTTCTCATTAAATTCACATTCTAGCCATTCTTATTCACAAGTAGGCGTTTAGACTTTATATATTATTATGGAAATAAACAATCACAATCATTTGAATCATACATTAATTCAATTTCCTTAATCTTATTATACTATTTATTATTAGAATCCATCTCATATATATACATTTATTCTTTACAATAAGGTTAGAATGTAAATAAGTTATCATTAATAAAACATAATCGATATCCATATTAATCAACTTTTATCTTTTATATAACACTCCACTATTTATCCAATTCAGACTATTTTATTACTAATATTTATGAATCATTTGAACAAGATATCAATTTATTTTATTTTTCATTTAAACTTAATGAATATACCGAACCAGTATGATCACTGATGGTTTATTGACATATCCATTAATTCTATTTCATCCAAAATTTGATTTTAGTATCATAACTACCTGATATTATTAAATCATCAGTATTATTTAACAATAAACAAAATATACAATTAGAATGTCCATTTAATTTTTATTAACAATTCCATTAATTATTTCCAATCATCTACCATATTATAATTGATTTATCTAAACTTCCAGATACAAAATTATTTGTCTTTTTCATAAAATTTAAAGTAAACACATCATCTGTATGCTTACTCAACAATTAAACTTGA